TAGGAACTTCACGAGGACAGGTTTTTTGTGTTCTTGAGTACTCTCAAGTTGGCGTCATTCAATTGTCTACAAAGCCCCCAAGCTTTTAGTTGATTTATCGATTTCTATCCTTTACTAACCAAGTTTATATTCCTTCTTTCTGTTCATACGTGTATTTTTACATACAATAAAATTCCTTTCAAAGGTCAGGCGGCTCATAATGTTATGAAAAATCCAGCAACTTGAAGAGATTCATAATCTGTAGTCTTTCTATTTTGGTAAAAAACTCTGAAGCACGAATAAGCTTCTCTTGCTGCTTCAGTCTATTGATCTACAGTTTATTAGTTTCCTTCTTTTTTCCGCATGATGAGGTTTGTTGGTTTCACTAAAATCAGTGTATACTCCGCCATACTTTCAGAATCAATTAATTTCTGTTTTGTCAATAATTGAAAACCTCTGGTGAAGGAGAAATATCTCTTACCTATAAACAAGGCTTACTGCATTCCTCTTTTATTAATTCAGCATTACAGTTATCTGATACAGTTATCTGATTTTACTCGCAAGCTAAATTATACAACAAATAAGAAGTACTACTTGAAGCGATTCAAATCTTATTATACACAATGAGATGATATAATAAGTAAAAGATCTTTTACAAAGAAAGAGTAATATACACACAACTAACTGCCTATGGGCACGTGACAAGAAAGAACGCTAAGAGAAAATTTGCCGACAATCAATTAGATTTGATTGTAACGAGACACACTGACTCTACCTGGTTGTCACTCCCTATTTATACCTATCCCACCGTTGACGTAACCCAGGTAGTATGCCCCTCCAAGAGCGTACCCTCAGGGAACATAATCCCGTCGGTCACTTACTGTAATAAGTGCCGTTTCGCGTATAGTCGCGACAGATTTCTCAGGAAATTTTTTTTTTTCTCTGCATTTTCTGTCTCTCTGCTACTTTCACCGCTGGCGACACTTATTATTATCAGACTTTTGAAAGTACGCAACATTTTACGAAAAAATGGCTTCTAGGAGACTTAAAAGTTGTCAACTCATTAAATTAAAACAGCAGAACCTTACAACTTTGCGTGCTCGCAAATGTTCCATTTTTACGACTATTTTTTAATGTGATTTATTTTTAAAAAATCGAAATTGATTTTTACAAGGCTGTAGTTTTATGCGCCTAAAAAGCAAGTCGAAAGCGGAACGTTAAAGTTAAGCTTAAATTGGTTTGGTTTATTATAAAAGCTCTGAAAAGTTAAATTATAGAGAATTGCCGTAATTATTGAAGTTTGGATTATATGGCGAGTTTACGATACGGTCAGAAGACCCTACCCGGGACACTTTGAACATTGAAAGTTTTAAGCTTTGCAGACGAAAAATGCTTTTTTTGTCTTGTTTTGTTTTACTTATTTTGTTTATCCAGTGGACCATAGATCCCGTCTAAGTATTCGTTTTTGGAGCATTCGCACAGTCGTTTGTCGTAGTAAACTTTCATTTGTAAGGTGCGGGTGACGGTGAAAAAAATTTCTGGAAAAATGGATTTAAATTACACAGAGTAAAAAACTTTGCTTTTCATTTTTTTAATGTTGATAGAAGAGCACAATAATGGCAAAAGAGTAATAATGCAAACAGATTTTTTTTTTTTTT